TCTCGTTTGATGGATAGTATGCAGTCGAACGTTTTCATTGTGGGACACGATTTCTTAATGATCTCACGGGCTATTCCAGCATTGAGAAGTTGAAGCAAGATATATTAGCCCAGGGTATGTATTGAGTTTTATGATGCCATTGGAAATCGATTTGCTTTGTGTATACCTAAACCACCTGCCCAATCTATATAACGACACCCAGGGGAAAGATAATAATGAAATAGAATAAAATTAGAAAGAAAAAAAAAAAAAAAAAAATCGGGAGAGAAGGAGAGGAAACTGAATCCATACCTTTCCTGCACAATGCTAACCCACCCCCAACAAACTCCCAGAACAACGAGTGCGCGAAACCCGCACCTGCGTCCAAGAAGCCAAAGAGGCCTACTCCACAGCCATCAACCGCCGCTCCGCCTCACAACGCGAAGTTAATGAGCTCCTACAACGCAAACACGCCTGGAGCCCCACAGATCTCGAGCGCTTTACTTCCCTCTACCGCTCCGACCATGCGAACGAGCGTGCTGAAACGGACGCGCAGGAGGCACTGGTGGTCGCCGAGCGCGAGGCGGAAGAGGCTGCAGCACTGTTGAGCAAGAGCATCCTATCCCGCTACCACGAGGAGCAGATCTGGTCCGACAAGATCCGTCGCATGAGTACGTGGGGCACATGGGGCCTGATGGGGGTGAACGTGCTGTTGTTCCTGATTTTCCAGGTAGCTGTCGAGCCGTGGCGGCGCCGCAGGTTGGTGAAGGGATTTGAGGAGAAGGTTATGGAGGCGTTGGAGAGGGAGAATGGAATGAAAGAGGGAGTGGGTGCTGTGGAAGGCGCCACCCTTCGTGATGGTGCCACTACCGTTCCTGCTGCTGCAGCTGCGCCATCACTCATCGCAGAACCAGTTACTCCTACATTCTCCAATATCTCAGACGAGACTCCAGCAGGACCATCAGATGCCGCCATGTTTACTGAACAAGACGTTCCCGATCCAGCCGTCGTATCTGCTACCGCACCTACCCTCACCGCGTTACAACCGAACAAACAATCACAATCGTCGACATCCGCGCTTCTTCTACCACCAGACGCTTCTCTGTCGCCAGATTCCTGGCGCCAGACGATCCATGACCTCTTCGGTGAACGACGCATTACGCTTTCCCAGCGCGAGCTGACGACGGTAGCGCTCGAGAGTGCAGCGGCTGGTGCGGCCGTGATGGGCGTTTTGATTGCCCTGTTTAGACCACGATGAGGGCGACTACATAGTCGTATTTATTGAGTTGGAAATAGGAAATCATTTCACGGTATTCATGAACAGAGATAGATAGATTTGGTATATTTGTATTAAACTTCCCTCTATTTTCTCTTCTCTTGTTGTATTATTTCCCCGCACGATTATTGTTATCTATCCTGTTTCTGTTGCACGTTTTAGTTTAAAAGGAGAGGGGGGGGGGGGGGGGGG